AGCCATACGATACTGCATCATTAATAAGATATTAAAAAACATCTCCATCTGTGGGTAATATAATATAGAAGAACTCAAATATGATTAATTTCGGTACCAAACTTAATCAGATGCTTAATTTTAAATAATAACACGGCAAATCATTGACAGTACTTTTCAGACAAATATATATTGTAGAAAGTAGTGGAATTTATTTATAGAAATAAACATCAATTTTAGGTATTTGTACCTTACTTATGTATGTATCCATTACATTACATTACATGTCACTTGTTAGACGCTTTTATCCAAAGCGACTTACATACTCAATACTGTGGACAATCCCCACAGGAGCACTTTGGGGTGAAGTGTCTCAGGGACACAACGACATGCTGACTGCAGTGGGGCTCTAACTTGCTATCCTCTGATTCGAAGATCAGCGCACTAACCCACCGCGCCACACGCCTCCCTATCCATGTTATAAAACGTTATACTATACACTTTAATGAGTTGTAAGCAATTCATCTTAAAAAGATTTGCATTCTTAATTATGAACATGTTTTTAATTTAAAAAGAGGTACACATAACATAAACAAAACGTTCTTATATTTCCCATTAATAATTTCTCTCCCCATTAACCATGTGACATACTAGCAATACGTTTAAATAATTTACAAAATCCTCACCTCAAAAAGCGACAACCCTAAACGCTGCTCAGATAGAGATGTAGCCGTGTGAACAATCTAATAAAGCCATGTGTATTAAAGTTTAATGAAATAACATGTACCATAACAAAAATATATAACACATGTCTACTTACTAGCTTTATTTGTTAGCACACATCATGGTCTTTGGAGTTATATGTGGAAGTCTACCGTCATTCATCCATCACCCGAACCCTACGGATGTTATACTACTTAATACTTCTACTAGAAATTGCTTTCATGACAGTTTGCTTGGGAACGAAGGACCCTGGAAACATATGATATTAGAAACAGGACTCTGAGAACGAGGGATATTGGGAACAGAGGAAGCACAGGACCATAGGAATATAGGAGGTGGGAGAAGTACTCAGGTCTTGTACTTGAGTAAAAGTAGAAGTACTCAGATCTTGTACTTGAGTAAAAGTAGAAGTACTCAGATCTTGTTCTTGAGTAAAAGTATAAGTACTCATATCTTGTACTTGAGTAAAAGTAGAAGTACTCATATCTTGTACTTGAGTAAAAGTAGAAGTACTCAGATCTTGTACTTCAGTAAAAGTAGAAGTACTCAGATCTTGTTCTTGAGTAAAAGTATAAGTACTCATATCTTGTACTTGAGTAAAAGTAGAAGTACTCAGATCTTGTACTTGAGTAAAAGTAGAAGTACTCAGATCTTGTTCTTGAGTAAAAGTATAAGTACTCATATCTTGTACTTGAGTAAAAGTAGAAGTACTCAGATCTTGTACTTCAGTAAAAGTAGAAGTACCAGAGTGTAGGAATACTCTGTTACAGTAAAAGTCCTGCATTCAAAATGTTACTCAAGTAAAAGTAGGAAAGTATTCTCATCAAAATATAGTTAAAGTAGCAACAGTAAAAGTAGTCATTGTGCAGATTGGTCCATTTCAGAATAATATATATGATATGTTTTATAATGATTGATCATTAAAGTGTTCTCAAAGCTGGTAAAGGTGCAGCTAGTTTGAATGACTTTGTATACTGCAGGGTAGCTTGTGAATTTACTCCAGGTGGAACTCAAGTCTGATTTAACACTTGGTTATATTTCACATCATTCATCCACATCTGTAAAGTAACTAAAGGGATTAAATACATGTAGTGGAGTACAAGTACAATATTTACCTCTGAACTGTAGTGGAGTAGAAGTAGCATACAATGGAAATACTCAAGTAAAGTACAAGTACCTGAACATTGTTCTTAAGCCCAGCACTTGTGTACAGTAAATCTACTTAGTTACTTAACACCACTGAATAAAGGACACTGGGAGTATAGGAATATGGGACATGATTTTTGGGACCCTGGAAACATATCCTGGCAATTATAGTGGAAAGAAACCCAAAACAGTTCATCCTTCCACTTCCACAATATCACTTATTCAAATAAATACCGTAAGAGAGTATCAGAGTGAACCCCAATGCATTCTGATTAGACACACATCTACTAAAACACACACATGCAGACCTCAGAAACACACACACACACACACACACACACACACACACACACACACACACACACACACACACACACACACACACACACACACACAACACACACACACACACACACACACACCCTCCCCCTAAAAGCCTGTTATTCTCACTGTAACAGAACAAACAGGGCACTGACAGCTTTTCTTATTGCAATAACCATTTATTGTTCTCGTCACACAAATCTTCACAAAAACAGAGGGTTTTCTGCAACAGGATCAAAGGAATGCTTTTCCTCCCTCAGAGCTGCAGATCTGAAGGATCTGTTTTTATTTCTCACGTCAATCAGCTGTTTGTTCTCTGATTTAAAACACGAGTCACGGCAGACTTTACAGGAAAGTCAGCTTACTCCGACCTGAAGAGAAGATTTCTGTTTGTCTTTTCCTGTTTGGATCTCACTCCAACATGTCTCTCTGTCCATATGATGCATTTTAATATTCTGTTGGTTTCCATTGAGGTTATTTTAAGGCATTTCTGCTTCATGGAGACAAGACTGGAAAGCAAACGAAGGAAAAAACTGAATCATGTCCTGCTGCAAATGTCATAAGTGTGACTCAAATTCACAACCAGCTGTATGTGTTTTGACTTCTTGAGCTCACCAGAATGTCACATTTTTCATGATATTTATGTGAAGTCAAAGTTGAAAATGCATCTTTTCCACATGGGATAAGGGTAATATGTTAAGGTAACTCAGCTCTTACTCTTGATGGTTGTTGCTCTGTGGAAATACTAGTACAATAACAACAAAAACATACCAATTCCAAAATGTTACGTTTAATTAAATGTGGAATGCAATTTTCCGTCTTTTCTTTTGTCCCGGCGCATCAACGGTCTAGTGTCAGCTCAAGGCAAGGCAAAGACAGACTATGGACATTTTGGATCCATTTATAACAACATATCTAATAAAACCTTCTGACAGTAACATGGCACTTTTTAGAAGGACACATTTGGACAGAATGAAGAAATGTTTGGACTTGTTGTGTAATTTGTCTGTTTTAGCAACAAACTCTTGCGAGATCTGACAAAAAATCCCCATAATGTTAAAGTTAATCTGTCCGATTTAAAGGGGACCTATCATGCAAAAGTGCATTTTGCATGATAGGTCCCCTTTAAGCCAAACGCTAATTTTAAAATGTGAAATCTTTAATTGAATCTAACGTGAGTTTAATGCCAGATCATTTGATCAGGGTTTAAAACATTGCTCATTATTTGAACCAGTAATTAATATTATAACTTTGCTTGTTTTTGCCGCTTTTTTATTATCTTTTTACATTAAACTATAATTTCATTTAGCTGACACTTCAGTATCCGAAGCAACTTAAATAACCACAACACATAGTAAATCCTATTAAATCCAGTTTCTTCACAGATACATGTTTAATGTATTTCTATGCTCGTGTAATGCACCCTGGATTAGGATGTTTTTGAACGCTGCAATATGAATGAATTAGCCTTTTTTGTACCCTTGTGTTTGGATTGAGTTTGTGTCTGGAAACTTGACAAGAAAATACATTTCAAATGATTTACGTCAGATATTATTGATGCTCAGATGACACATCAAAAGAGAGAGAGAGCTTTGAGTTTATAAGCTAATGATCACACAGCATTTTAGTAAACAACTCTCGCAGTCTGAAGTTGGTCCAATGGGCGAAAACAGTAATTTTATTCAAAGAGTCATCTGAGTGTTTTCCAAATGATCCAGTGTTGGTTCAGAGTGTTTCAGCACCTTCATACACACTGTTCTCATCATCATCATCATCATCACAATACACACAAGATTTCCCTCGATTTACACACTGAACGTCGGTGATGCTTGTGTAAAAACCACACTCTCGATATAAAAGTTATTTACAATATCATACAAACAAATGTCAGTTTTAGAAAGAGGATTAAGGACAATAAGGGTTAGGGGATGTAAGGGTGATTGTGCATGTGTGTGCTTTTGAACATACGTGTGCTCTGTCGAACAGGACTTTACTCTTGTGTGTGTGTGTGTGTGTGCGAGTGTGTGTCGTCCAGCAGAGGGAAACATTTCACAGCACAGTGATGGTAATATAGTCAAGATCCCACAGAAATAGAGGTTGTAAAAATATGTGGGGGGGGGGGGGGGGGGGGAAAGAGGAGGGAGAATAATAATAAAAAAAACAGTGTGCAAATCAAAATTTAGCAAAACTGTCACGCCGCTTTGAGCGCTCATGGCAACAACATCGTATATACATGTCAATAAATAAATCTGCTGATAAAATCTCAGAAATTAATCACAATAGTTACATGACTCGGTCAGTTTATGGCGAATCTCGGCGAGAAATAAAATCCCAGTTCAGGAACTCGTTCAAGAGTGAAATAAAAAAAAGTGTTTTGTATGAAAGCTCCTCGTTGAGAAAGAATACAAAACCCAACCAATATTTGCTCCTGAATATGTTGAGCTTTATTTGACCACCTGCAGTCGTTAGCTTGGCTTTGTCTTAGCAAATGTTTTTTGTTTTTCACGTTAGTTTTTTTGGCAACCATCTGAGAAAGAAGAGAAGAAAAACACGAAGAAGAAGAAGAAGAAGAAAAAGATGGCCGAGTAGAGATGTCGGTACTTTCATCATGTTTGTCTGTTGCTTCCGCTGAGAGAAACCAAATGGATTCTTTGATCTGAGAAAATCTCATGCGGAGCTGACAAGGGCACTGCTACTCAGACTACTGTGTGTGTGTGTGTGTGTGTGTGTGTGTGTGTGTGTGTGTGTGTGTGTGTGTGTGTGTGTGTGTGTGTGTGTGTGTGTGTGTGTGTCTGTCTGTCTGTCTGTCTGTCTGTCTGTCTGTCTGTGTGTGAAAGTTGAGTGTAAATGGAATGAGATAAGAAGAGAGAATGAAAGAAAGAGACCAATGGACAGAGAGTGTGCATAGCTGTGTCTCAATTTAAGTACTTCTGTAAATACATGTGCTTGAGTGCATCAGTGCGTCCCCATGTATGTGCGGTAAGATGCATTATGAAAACACAGATGTGCACTTATAACTGCCCAGAAGTTGAGTGTATTACCGTAGACACGCCTTCTTGGCAACGTAGCGGATGTTGCGTGACTAGCCGTGGATATGGTTGCTCCGGTGAACACAGCACTATACAGATACAAGTTTGACATCTTGTTGAAATGCAAGTATTGTACAACTATATTGGATTCAAAAGATGCCAGCGTTAATTTTATTTGATTAATTGAGCAGTGTGTATGATGATTTTCTAGCACAAACTATTTGTTGCTAGATAGCGAGCTAACAGCGCTCGAAATTCACGCAATGTGTACAATGGGAAGTTTTCAAATTGAGACACAGCACATGTGTGTGTGTGTGAGGGTGTGTATGGCTTGCTAAAATGATGCATTGTTCGTGTAAATCTCAGCAGCACACGTGTCTTTCAGCAGGTTTCTTTGGTCCAACATCCTGATCGCATACAGTGAGTTCACTCTCACTCCGTTAAACGGTCGAAAACTCACCATTGCTTCGAAACCAAAAAATGGACGGACATTCTCAGTGGTCACAGTTTGATGTGTTTTTCGTTGCAGGAGCGCGCCACTGAAGATGATACAAAAACAACCAAAGTCAGAATATTCGAACGCTTAAACAAAGAAGTACCTGACTCTGTACTTGATGTTCGGCTCTTTGCTTGTGCAGCAAAGAGAAAGTATTTTTTAGTTGTGCCTATCGGTTCCCCGGGGGTTTAGGAGGGCGTTAGGGACGTCTGTTCGGTATCCAGGGAAGTTCTAGACCTGCGTGGAGTAGGAGCGGTGCAGCGTGGCGTATCGCCCGGACGGATGGGCGGCGCACAGCGGAGAGTGCTGCTCCGCCTGGTCTAGACTTCGCTGGAAATGGAGCGAGACGGTATGAGGACATCGGGGGTTGCGGGGAACCGATAGGGCTGATGGTCATGTGATCTCGGTGAACGGAGATCCCCTCGGAGTCTGCAGGGGAAAGAGAGGAGTGAGAAAGAGAGAGAGAGAGAAGGCCAGGGGGAGAGGGGGGGAAAGAATAATCAAGAGCAATGTACGAGGATGAGGAGGAAAAGGAGAGCATCAAAAACAGAAATAAGGCGACGGATGGCGGAGAAAGTGAGGAGTGAGGAAGAGATTCAAAGTTGGTTAGAATGGTTGGACGTAGGTGTTGTAAGGTGGGGAGGAGGTGGAGAGTGCAGGATACTGGAGGAGAGTGAGGGACAAGGGAGCAGAAAGGAGAGAGGCAAGGTGGGAGACAGAGGAAAAGAGGCAGTCAGGTGAGGGTTAGTGACGGAGACAGACCACACAGGACACAAGACATCTCCTAAACACTCGTGGACTCTTCTGTCGATCCCTGAGAGCATTGGTGTGTGGTCGAATACCCGAACTGCACTATTTAGTATGCTAGAAAGTGTCCCAATGCATGGACAGCTGATATATGAGCAAGAAGGTTTAAATGCAAGGTGCAAAGTGAAGGGAAAGTTGCAAAGGCAGGTAAGTCTTTGCAAACGTTTCCCAAATTGGGATCAATAAAGTACTTCTTATCTTATCTTATAAGTCTTTAGTCTTAAGCGAAGACGGACAAGTCCAAAGTCCTAAGCTTTGAGATGTAAGGGCTGCACTATTTAGTATTCCAGAAAATGTCCCAATACAATGCTTTTCTGACTATTTCTTCTGGCTATTCTGACCCAAATTCTTTACACAGCTGATATATGAGCAAGACGTTTTAAATTCAAGGTGCAATGTGAAGGAAAGGTTGCAAAGGCAGGTAAGTCTTCAGTCTTAAGAGAAGACGGACAAGTCCAAAGTCCTAAGCTTTGAGATTTAAGGTCCAAACAAGTCAAAATGCAAAAAATTGTAATGAAATGTTTCCATTCTTGTACTAATTTTGTTTCCAGCTGGTGAGCACTACTATTAGGTAAGTTCGTGATGGTCCTCTCCTGCAACTTGATTGGATGCTGTCTCTTTGGTTTAAAAAACTGTATCTAGGGAATAATTTCTGGACTTGCTAGAAATGCATCGTTAGTGTGAAACGATTCAGTAAATCGTCCGTTAATCTTTGGGTTTAGGCGTAGGAATCAAGTGTATTCAAGTCAACAGGCTCAGAAGTCTTGAGTCTTTGGTTTTAAAGAGTTTAACTTTCTTTTGATTTCACAAGTGTAATCTTTAGTCATCAAATGTCCCAGTGACTAGGACACCTTTGCTAAGAAGTGGTTCCAATTGATTTAATTCTGCATGCGACTCTTCGTACTTGTAAGGGCAGCTGCTTTACAACCTAAAAGTATAAGTTAAGCGATTTTTAGGGACGCAGCCCCTTTCTTTAGAAAAAGCAGCACCGTTGAACAGCCGAGGAGACCTTCAAGCTGAATTTGTTTCTTCCCTCCAGCTTCCTGCTTTGCATCATCCCAGAATGTTAAATTACACCTCAGTGAGTCAGCCGAACTGCTGACTCAGCTCAAAAGAGATAAGTGACTCCCTAAATCCCCGATAAGAAGCTAAAGAGCAAACATTCACACTAGAATTTGTTCCTCCAATGGATGAAATAAAACCAGGGCTCATTTCACACCGGTAGAACAAATCTCTGCTGCGTTCTTATCAGCCAACAAGCAGGCTTAGAGATTTAGAGGATTCTCTCTGATGTATTGTTGGTGCTGAGGGTGCAGGTGGTGCTTTGGAGCATGCATGATTTGTTCTGGGTATTTTGGGGGGGGAGGAAAGGAGGACAACGGATTCAGGTAAGAGACAAGGGGTGTGTATATCAGCCCATCTTTTGTGAGTGCAGCACCCCGCCTCTTACCTGAGGGCCACTTAACTTTTCGAGTGGACTCTCGACACAGGGCAGCGTCACCATCGGCATCCCCAGCATGGACTCGGGGCGATGGGGTCGAAGTGGAGGAGGACTCGGCAACATCTGCTGGAAATTGTTTATCACACAGGTGACCTGCAGATGGAGACCGGGTTAAAGGGTTAGAGAGAAGAAAGAAAGAAAGAACGGACACTTCGATGAACCCTGACCCCGCTGCAATCGTCCAATCACAGCTCAACAACAACCTTTAGATTTCTTCCCATTTCAAATGCATAAAGTTCATAGAGAGTTCCTGTTGGGGCAAACTGGTATCTCAAGAGTTGGGAAGTTGTACTTTTTTCCAGCCTTAAAATAATGCAAGCCTTCAAGGAACTACCTTTAAAGCTGCCCCATTTACTGTTTGTTGTGACAGTTGATCAATGGGGACTGTCCACGACACAAATAAACTAAACTAATACTAACCTAGCATTATTTTCTAATTACATTTATTTGGTTAGGTACATTATTTTGTGGAGTTAGATAAATATATATCAGGCCAAGATGCATAAGAGATGCAATCATATCTGTTTTGAGACACAACAGAGGCTTTGTCCAACTCTTGATTTGGTTTAAGGGAAGATAATACTCCATCAAATTCATACACCATTTTAGTTTTATTAACTCATTAGACCTTTTACAACTGTTGTCATAGGTTAAGTAGTAGTTTTTGATATAAGTAAACCAATCACAACTCAACAACAACCCTTAGATTTCTTTCCATTTCAAATGCATAGAGATTCATAAGGCGCGTTCACACCGGAGTACTTTTACCCGTACTTTTCCCGTTTAGTTCAGATAGTGCCTGGAATTTTGCGTTCACACCAAAAAGAGTACTTAGTTGCGAGAACTTTTACCCCCATGTTTAGTGCCTGCTAGAGAGGTGGCACTATCCTGGGGAGAAAAAAGTACCAATTTCGATTGGCTGGGCGAATTGCAAACCACGCCCCGTAAAACTCTGAAAAGTTTTGTGAAGCATTGTATTTGCTGGCATTAGCATTATTAGCATTAGCATTAGCCCTGCGCACCAACGGAGAGAGAATAACTTATGGCAACACAAAAAAAAACATGGGAGCGGAGGAGTGATGAGGAGGTGTCAGATGAGGAGGTGTCGGCTTCAGTAGAAGCTGCTGGGAGTCCCAGCAGCTTCTACTGAAGCCAGTCCCCAACTCCGGGGACTTCTGGCCGGGGACTTCGGGTGGCAGTATACGCCGTGAAGTTGTTTGTGGCCTGCCAGTAAACCCAAAGCAGAAGAAGAAGAAGTGACGTCAGCGGCTTCATTTGCCTAATCCTCCCTCAGGTAACTTATTCCAGTGTGAACGTGATCTGTACTTAGTTCCATGGGGGCACTAAGTGCAGGGCACTAAGTGCTGGGCACTAAGTACGGCAAAGTACTTGGTGTGAAAGCGGCTATTGAGAGTTCCTGTTGGGGTGAACTGGCATCTCAAGAGTACTTTTTTCCAGGCTTAAAATAATACAAGCCTGCAAGGAACTACCTTTGATACTAGCATTATTTCCTAATTACATTTATTTGGTTAGGTACATTATTTTGTGAAATTAGTTAAATATACCAGGCTAAGAAGATACATAACAGATGCAAACATATCTGTTTTTAGTCACAACAGAGGCTTTGTCCAACTCTTTGTTTGGTTTACGGGACGATAATACTCCTGCTGATTCGTACACCACTTTAGTTTTAATAACTACCGGTTGAATACAAGTCTTTCTCAGACATAGGAAGGCTTCCTTCATTAGACCTTTTACAACTGTTGTCATCGCTTGAGGTTTTTGTGATAAGTAAACCAATCGTTATGGGATTAAAAATGGTAAAGGATACACTCAAAAAACACTTATTTTCCAGTGTAATCTCTCACCAAAAACACAGCGATGGATCCCCCGGTGAAGAATCCTGCCAGGACGTCGGCCCAGTGGTTTCGGTACTCAGCCACTCGGACCACCCCCACTAAAACAGCCAGGCAGAGCAGAGTGAGGCTGATGGTGGGCTTCGTCAACCGCGTACCTTTGGTCTTAAACACCAGAGTCACATACATCTGCAGAGAGACAAAGAAGAGTTACAACTAACAAAGGAAGCAACAGAAGACACACAAGCATCATTAAAACATGACTAGGTTTTAAAAATGCCAGATAAAATCCTTTCTATCTTTCAAACTACTTCTCCAGTGTTCAGACGACAATCTTTCTTTAGGGGGGTTAGCAGACAAACACATTACATTTTAGAAGCAGATCAAATATAGTAGAGTCTTATGCAAAGATAAGGGTGGATGCAGACTCATATTTGATCTAGTTTGCACCATTAAGGTGAACAAGCAAGTCTACTTTGTCCTAATCAAAACTTGTCTAGATCAAAAATATGTTGTAGCTATGTCAGCTAGCATTTGGTTAGCTAAGCTTATGAGTTTGCTAACATTTGGTTAGCTAAGCTTATGAGTTTGCTGCCTTTAGCCTGCTATGCAAGGTCTGCCGCATACTTTCTATCAAAAAGTGGTCGTGCACATCACCTGCACTAAGACAAGGAACTGTTGTTTTTCTACTTACGTATTTGTATGGATTAAAATATTGAGTCTTTGTGCTGAGCTAAGCTAACTAGCTGTAGCTTTATATTCATGGTATGGGCTTGAGAGTCGTATCATTCTGCTTATCTAACACTTTCTGGATTTGTAGCAAGACAAATGAAGTTGCTTCAATCCCAAGATAACGTTGTAAAAGTGAAAACATCAGTACAGGCTAAGTCCTGTTTCTTTTAGCAAGGTTTCAATCGGCAACATTCATTAAAGGTGGGGTAGGTAAGTTTGAGAAACCGGCTCGAGAAACACTTTTTGTTATATTCCATGGAATGCTCTTAACATCCCGATAGCAATGAATATCTTAAGTGCTTTGACAAAAAATCCATAAAAAAATGTCATCTGTGGAAGCCGTAATACTGTAAAAAGTACGACCAATCATTTTAGCCGACCCGGCTAAAATAACTGGATGGCCTACCTGCCTGTCAGCCTTCCATCTGTGCACAAACTTATCTCGTGCCCTCATTGGTCATGTGCGCGTTCGTGTGTGTTGGAGGAGGGGCTCTATAAGGAAGTGGTTGTGTATTTTCAAATTCTAGCGATCTCGAGCCGGTTTCTCAAACTTACCTACCCCACCTTTAAAGGTCCCCTATTATACTGTTTTTCATCAATATATTATAGGTCTCAGATATATCCAGAGCCTGTCTCTGATTGGCTGAAACACCAATCAGATCATTGCAGCATCCCATAATCCCCTCTGTTTCAGCCCTGTTTCCAAAGTGCTGATTCTCTGTCTGTTACTTTAGATGGAAATAAGGAGCCCCTCCCCACGCCCCTCTGAGAGATATTTGGTTACAAAGAACTCAATGGTGCTCTAGGAGGAGATTCAGGTGATAAGGTGGGGGGGGGGGGGGGGGGGTTACCTTGGTTGGTGATTGGCTAATGGTTACACAAGCCAAAACATCGTTATGACATCATAAAGTGGCCAAAATCTGATCAGCTCATTTTCAGACAGGTTTTTATATAAATGGATCAGGACAAAAAGAGAGAGAATCTTTGTTCCTGAAACTTTCAGAGTCTCTTTCCACAGAGGGGACACATGTTGATGTAGAAGAGACATGAAGAAGAGGGGACACATGTTGATGTAGAAGAGACATGAACAAGTGGATTTTGCACAATAGGTGACCTTTAACAGAACCTCAAAATATCCAGCCAGCATGCTCCAACCTACCACTGTGTAGACTGCAGAGTAGATGCTGAGCGCTGCATCCTTGGAGGGGAAAGATTTCCGTGCAGACATGACCACCAGAGGGTTCCCTGTGCAGGCCCGGCGCTCTGCGATGTACTGCATGGTCGACTGGCAGCCCAGCGCCGTGTAGTTCGGTCGACACGCAGACAGGAAGTGAGGCGTCTGGTTTCCTGTCACCACCTGGCCGGCATTCACGAAGATTGTGGTGGTGAAGAGACCGAAGGCATAGACACCTGGGTAAGAGATGAAGAAGATTAACATTCATCTGTCTGCAACTTACAAATTATTTATCTAATATCTCAAAATATTGAAGTGACTGTTATTTTATATATTGATTGTTGTGTTTTTATTTAGTTCTTAATGTGTGCACATGTAAAAATGTGTCTTTGACTGTGTATATACATATTTGCACACATATTTTTATATACATTTGTTTTTATATTCGGGATTGTGGGGAAACGGTATTTCGATCTCTCTGTCTGTACACACAAACTAGAAGATTGACAATAAAGTTGACTTGGACTTTGATATTCCAATTACTTAGACTCTCCTAGCACTATTTCTATTCTATTTTATTTGTATTACTTGCACTATTCTAACTATTTTGTCTGTGTTGTTGTGTTGCACCGTTGGAGGAGCCTGTGACCTAAGATTTTCATCGATATATCTACACTGTCTGTAGCTAATGTACAAATTACAATAAAAGCCTGAAAAGGGATGTAGACGTGGAATAAAAGGCAGAGGCAAGAAAAGGCAGAGAGCTATCAGGAAAGCACATTAGCTGTTTGAACCATTTGAACAGATACAACAGTTCGAGATATAACGGGTGATAACAAAGTTTTGCCTTCCTAAAATAGCATCAACACTTTATTATCAGCTGAGGTGTGAAATTGCACCGAGAAGCTTTCACCTCAGCTGATTCAGCTCGAGATGTAAATTTGCCGGCTGCTTAATATTCACAAGATTCTTCCTGCCATGATCCTGAATATCTTACCTCGAAGATTAAATCTCAGTTTATCATCCAATTAGCAGCTACATGCACCAACTCTGGTTTACAAAGTGTAGCGGGTCACGTTTCTAACAAGTCAACCTTTTATTTCAAGATGTTTTTTGATTTGGTCTCTGAATCTTCCTGGCAAAACTACACACAAATAGACCCTGTAAAGAGGCCTGTAAAGAGGTCTGTAAAAAGCTAAAAGTGCTGTTCAATACGCAGATTCTTCCTGCCATGATCCTGCATATCTTACCTCCAAGATTAAATCTCAGTTTATCATCCAATTAGCAGCTACATGCACCAACTCTGGTTTACAAAGTGTAGCAGGTCACGTTTCTAACAAGTCAACCTTTTATTTCAAGTTGTTTGGACCTTTTTGATTCGGTCTCTCTATCTTTTAAATATGTATATCCTACATACACATGTATACATATGCACACATTAAGACATAACTAAAAGCACAAGAATCAATATAAATAACAGTCACTTCAATAACTTTGAGAAAGGTGCATTAGTGCAAGATTGTCCATAGCAGCGTACAAATCTTCCTGGCCAAACTACACAAAAATAGACCCCGTAAATGGACTCTGTAAAGAGCAAATTGGCAGTTCAATACTCAGCAGTGTGTGTTCACCTAGGAAACGTATTATGCGTCTCAGCAGGGGGTTGAAGTAGCAGCAGTCTGCAGTGACAATGGTTTTCTCCTGGGTTCCCTCCGCCTTGGTGAAGAATGCACAAAGCTCTCCAACAAGAATCTGTGCACACAAAGAAAAACACAGAACTGGTTGTTAAAAAAGTGGATTTAAAGGTCCCCTATTATGCTGTTTTTCATCAATATATTATAGGTCTCAGATTTATACAAAACATGTCTCTGAAGTGTTTGGCTCCAAACACCAAACAGATCATTGCAGCATTACCCATAATCCCCTCTGTTTCAGCCCTGTTTCAAAAGTGCTGATTCTCTGTCTGTTACTGAAAAACTGATGAAAATAAGGAGCCCCTCCCCACGCCCCTCTGAGAGATATTTGGTTAAAAAGAACACAATGGTGCTCTAGGAGGAGATTCAGGTGATAAGGTGGGGGGGGGGGGGCTACCTTGGTTGGTGATTGGCTAATGGTTACACAAGCCAACACATCATTATGACATCACAAAGTGGCCAAATCTGATCAGCTCATTTTCAGACAGGTTTTTATAGAAATGGATCAGGACAAAAAGAGAGAGAATCTTTGTTCCTGAAACTTTCAGAGTCTCTTTACACAGAGGGGACACATGTTGATGTAGAAGAGACATGGAGAAGAGGGGACACATGTTGATGAAGAAGAGGGGACACATGTTGATGTAGAAGAGACATGAAGAAGAGGGGACACCTGTTGATGTAGAAGAGACATGAAGAAGAGGGGACACATGTTGATGTAGAAGAGACATGAAGAAGTGGGGACACATGTTGATGTAGAAGAGACATGAAGAAGAGGGGACACATGTTGATGTAGAAGAGACATGCAGAAGAGGGGACACATGTTGATGTAGAAGAGACCTGGAGAAGAGGGGACACATGTTGATGTAGAAGAGCACATGAAGAAGAAGAGGGGGGACACACTGTTGATGTAGAAGAGACATGAGAAGAGGTTACACGATATGTTGATGTGAGAGACATGAAGAAGAGGGGACACATGTTGATGTAGAAGAGCATGAAGAAGAGGGGACACATGTTGATGAAGAAGAGACAGTGAAGAAGAGGGGACAACCAGTGTTGATGTAGAAGAGACATGAAGAGAGGGGACACATGTTTTGATGTAAGAAGAGACGTGAAGAAGAGGGGACACATGTCGATGTAGAAGAGGACCTGAAGAAGAGGGGACACATGTTGATGTAGAAGAGACGTGAAGAAGAGGGGACACATGCTGATGTAGAAGCATAGACGGACATGAAGGAAGAGGGGACACATGTTGATGTAGAAGAGACGTGAAGAAGAGGGGAACACATGTTGATGTAGAAGAGACATGAAGAAGAAGAAGGGGACACATGTTGATGTAGAAGAGACATGAAGAAGAGGGGACACATGTTGATGTAGAAGAGACATGAAGAAGAGGGGACACATGTTGATGTAGAAGAGACATGAAGAAGAGGGGACACATGTTGATGTAGAAGAGACGTGAAGAAGAGGGGACACATGTCGATGTAGAAGAGACATGGAAAAGTGGATTTTGCATAATAGGTGACCTTTAAGTGTTGCCCTTTT